AACGGAGCAAATCTTTCAAAGATGACGAAACGCTAGCATGTATATGCCATATACTAAATAATATTATGCATTAAATTTTTGACAATTGTTTAACTGAAATAGCCATAAATATAAATGGTGCAAAAAAAATGGTACAATATTTCAAACACAGCTAATAGCAAACTAAGCCACACCCTTAAACAATATGTAATAGCGAGAATAACAATATGGAACTCTGTATATATCATGATACAGAGTTTCTTAAAATCATTTCTGAAATACAGGTGTACTTGTTTAGCAAGCAAGAATTAAATAGATTAGCCACAATTGATATCAGCATCAGATAAATTTTTATAAATATTTAAAGAATGCTCGGATAATCTGAGAGCAGATTCTCGTCCCACAATAAATAAAGTTTGTCTATGGAAACAAAAATTAATAAAATTTTGTTAACCTTCTGAACGTGATACAATAATAATCAGAACCTTAAAATACAGAACAAGATTTCATTTAAAAGATTATTATGCAGCCACTATAGACGGCTTAATTCTAGATCCGAATTTCAAAAGACTTAAGTTTTTAATAAAAGAAGAAAATGATATATATAAAAATCTTAAAAATGATAAATGATATAAAATTAGATGATATGCATAAGTCGATGCCAACTACCATTTATAACTTTCCTAACTTATCCTAAACTCATAAAAAAAACGTATATTCTAAATGATCAATACCAACTATCACTTTCCTAATTCATCTTAGGCTCATAAAAGACCGTATATTTCTAGATGATTCTGATGAAGCATCAACATCACCCATGAAAGCTGTGAGGATGAACTTAAAATATTTATATAAAATAAATAATAAGACAATATTTTGAAGTTTTGGAAGCAGGAATATTCATTTCCTTTTTTGAGAAAACTATCGAGTAAAATTTTGTCAGCTGCAAGTTCGGCTTCTAGTGAAAGGTTATTTTCTGTAGCCAATCTCTTACTAGAGGAAAGGCGTACATAATTGAAATAAAAAAAGATGGACATTTTCTTTTTCCAAATAAACTTCGATTTATAGATTATATTTATTTTTTGTAATTAATATGGATTATAAAATTAGAGAAATAAATAGAATGAATTCAAAAAAGGGTAAAATTATAGCAATAGTTTTGAAAAATTTAAAAACACCGTGAATTTTCGGGCGTGAATCAAAATATTGCTTGTCGTGAGCGGGCGGGTCGGGTCAAAAATTTTTTAGTGTTAAGCGTGAATGGGCGTGATATTTTTTTATTACCACCGTGAGCGGGCCGGTTGTGAATAAAAAAATAGGCCCGCGCCCACCTCTACTAGGAATTGTGTACCTTATTTCTAAAAAACAGATTTTTTTAAAATAAAATAGAATAAAACAAAATGGAAAATCATTGTTTTAAAAAGTTGAATGAAAAATAAAAGATTATATTATAAAAATTCCAAATTATTTGCTCAATATCGTAGAAGAAATTTTTACAAAAAACATTTTTACCTTAAAATTTCAGTTATTTTGATCTTCAAAATAACAAGAAAAATATCTTCAATTTTTTGGTCTTCAAAAAAGCAAGATTTTTGAAGATTTTTAAACTTTGAGCAAATGTTATACCCTGGTTTTGACAGCAGCATGAAAGTAGGGCCAGAAATTAATTTTTATAAAATTTTAGCAAGACATAACCGCCTATGGGAAATATTGAAATTGAATCTGAAGTGATTAATCTAGTTATCAAAATAAATATATTGGAATTGTCCTGGATAACAGAGGTGGCTGTAAGGAAGAACTAAAAATAAGCATATAAAATACTAGGATAGCTTTTCTTAAATATATCAAACTCTGAGACTATGCATCTTTAATTCCAATGTCATTCCTATCTATCCTGTTATATAGAGGTGAAGCTTGTAAAATTAACAAGGCCAACAATAGGAAACTTCAGACATTTATCAATAAGAGCTTAAGAATTATTAAGGGAAATTTTTAGACTTTCCCAACCTGACTTAAAATATTTAGTAAAAATCCAAACTTCACCCAATCTAGGCATGAAATTAATTAATTCTATATTCTTGACACAGCCCAATGTAAATATCAAAATATATAAAAAATTACCCTAAGATATTTTTTCTTTAGTATGTTATAAAAAAATAGTCTAAAATAAAAAAATTGTAAAATAATAAATTGATTAAATTCAGAATTATATCAAAAATATTTATCTTATGTCAAACGCAACCCAAAATAAAAAATAATCACAAACTCTGGGTTGAGGGGTTACGTTTTGCAGGTCTCTAAATCAGAGGGCAAATATTATTTATCTAAAATAACAATAATGTGATTTGAATTCAAATCATTAGACAAACCTCATAGACATGGGAGGGGATAGTGTTTCACATAACCCTCAAAAAAAATTTTTTTTATTGCGAATTATTTAAAACGGTTTCAGTTTAGAATAAAATAACATATGCGATATCAAAATAGAGCCGAGGATGGAGATAAAATTAGATATGCCTATCTCGAGAGATATCTTCGAAAAACAATTAATTATAAATAACTAATTAGATAGTTTTAGAATATTAATTTATTTTTTATAATTTTTGTATCCATTTTTAAATAAAAGAAATATCGTTTAATTTGGTCATTATAAACAGCATGCTCTGCTAAAAATGCCATTTACCTTAGTCCAAGTATTCAAAATGAAATAATAGCCATATGGAATAGGTTCATCTTCATAGAAATTTCTACAAAAGTGAAAGCATCACCATTGTTTTGGCGAATGTGACTTCGAATGTTACTAACATAGAGCAATTATCTAGCTTGATATGGAATCAGGTGATTTCAAAATGAAGGAACTCTTGTTCAATTTTTTGCCTTACATGATACTAAATCAGATTCGATAGCTAAAAAGGTTATAGCATCCCTTCAAGACTTAGATTTTGATTTAAATCTAACGAGAAGCCAAGGATATGATGGAGCACCCTCGATCAGTGTTCACATTAAAGGGGTGCAGTCAAGGATTAGGGAGCTTTACAGCACAACTTTCTATGTTCATTATAGTTCACATTGCCTAAATCTGATGATATCTGAGGCATGCGAAATTCTAGACATCCGAAACAATTTACGTAAAAGTATATTTAATTGGAATTTATTAGATTTTAATATGTATTTTATAAATGATATATTTATATAATTCTGATATATTTTTAAAAATTTAGAACATCGCTGGTTTATAACTTTTTCACACTATCCAAGTAAAGGGAGCTTTTTATCCGAACGTTTGGTGACATTGATTCAAATAATCAAAAAAAAATTTCCAACTAGATTAATTGAAAAACAAGAGTCAGTGAGACTTTTCATCGAATTGTATGAAGCTATTTTTGCAGCGCTTGAATCCTACATATCAAGCGAAAAAAAAGATTCCACAGATGCTGAAAATCTTTTGTAGGCTATTACGAAGCCACAATTTTTAATATCAATTATACAGATGATTTTAACAAAAGGCTACAAAAAATGGATTTGGATTTAAAGGAGGTTATGAATAGGGCAAAGGATATTGTAACGAATATCAGAGATAATGTGTATGAAAAATTTCATGAAATATACGAGTAAATAAAGGAAATCGCTAATATGTTTGGGATTGAAATTATTAAACCCTGAGTAGTTTCTAGACTATCCAATCGCTCAAATATTGATGCATTTACAATTGAGGATTTTTGTAAAATAAATATTGATACATTTTATTTTTATTAAAGTAAAGATTTATTAGTCACCATTTTATTTTAAAAAGCTTTTATTTTATTTGGCCGATTGAGTATGAATTGTTGATTACACTTGAAACGTGAGAGGATACTAAGAAAATCTATCTGATGATTTATCAGGATCGCATGATAAGTTACTTTGAGATGTCGAATTTTAGTATAAAAATCTTGACAGAATAGAGTACTCTTCAAGACCAAAAAATGCTTTGCAGGTCCTTTCCATGTGTAATTGCACTTTCGATTCTCTATCTAATATCACATTTATTTTAGTTCCCCTGCCCATTAGAATTTGCACTAATGAAAGGTCCTTTTCAACTTTGAAAAGGTTAAAAACCTATTTAAGAAATAGCACCGATGAAATCCACTTAAATGGATTCGTTCTATTAAATATTTATAAGGAGATATACTTGATAAAAATTTGATTCTAGATGAACTAGCGAAATCTCAGAGGAAAGTTAGACCTCTCTTTATAAATTCAAAACAAAAAATTGTAATATGATTATAATATTTTTAGTTTTTAAATATTATATTAAATTATATATAAATAAATTATTCATTACGCGATTAAAATAATATAAAATATATTCTAATCATCATGTGAGATGAGGCTGCCAATGAAGCTGATGTAATTGGCCCTGTGAATTGCTATTGCGAGTCTTTGGTTATAAAATTTTTGTATGCAAAACTTAATTATAATAAATTCTTAGTCATAATATTTATATTTTTTTATATTACACTATTTTAAATAAAAGTATTACATTTGCAATAAGAGTTATTTATATTTTGATAATATAATAATTCTCGTATTAATTAAAATTGTTAAATTATATTTTTTTAAATGTCGTTATGTGCAACGAATTACTTATATTTTATTGTAATATTATATATTTTTTAAAATACAGTTATTTACAGTAAATTTTTAATATAATAATCTGTATAAAATTTTTACATTTTGAAATTTATTTTATTGTATATTATCATTAAAATAAATATATAGTTAAATAAAGGGATACTATTTATACTAAAGCATTTTAATAATTAATAAAATCTATCATAAAATTCTCTGTAAAATTTTGTTATATGCAAAAATTTAATTAAAATAATTATTTTTAACATAGAATAAGATATTAATTATGTCAATTCCCGGCTTTAAATGGCCCAGGATTTTTAAATACTTTTTCTAAGCATTATTTTATATTCATTATTTTTTTTCTCTTTTATTATAAATATTAATGAATTCATAAAAAAAAAATCAAGATCCATAGATCTTTCTGCTCTCAGCTCGCATCAAATCTTTGTAAAACCCAAGATCAATCAATAATTCCGACTGCACACTCAGATTGTTGGGTTGGTGATAAGTGGATGGGTGGTGGCTTGCTCAATACTTTAGGCAGTCATGCTATTGATATACTTTCTTACCTACTTTCCGACGAAATCATAAGGGTTTTAGCCTATTTAATTAATTCGATCTGGCCCGACCAATTTCAATTGACCGAGTTTAGTCAGACTAAAAAAACCATATGAAAAACTATATAATTTATTAGAACCCTATTTTTTTTATAGGTTTGTAATGGTGAGCCTAGGCATCTTCCCAATACATCCTCTAGGGCAACATACATAAGCCATCATAAAAGCAAAAAACTAATAAGGGATGAAAAAGATGTTTTTCCCGTTCTTAACGATTCCTTGTGTGGCGATAATTTCCTGAGTTTCCATGCCTATTTCGGTAATAAGGGAGTAAATCACACTAGAGCTACTGTTATAATCAATGGGGACGTCCATCCTTTATGTGAAAAGGAAGAATTAGTTCTTGGGGGCGAAAAGGGTTACAAGTCTTATATTTTATTTTATGTCGTAGGCTGAATATTATAATGTTATTCACTTTTTTACATTTTTATTCGATAAATTAATCCTTCAGTACTGTATTGTTTCCAATATAAATATTAAAATATAATTATAATCCTTCGCATTATAATGTTGGATCTCCTATAAAATACAAAATATATTTTTTTAAAGATACTCTCCTAATAAATTGTAAGCAATGGATATAAACCACTATAATACTCAGCCAACTATTTATATAATTTTACTATGCTTAATATGGTATTGTTTTTTACATTTTTTCTAATAATGTCACAAAATATTTAAAGTAAATATCAAATTTATTAAAAAATAAGGCACTATCATATACGACGGGAAAAGTGTTAAATTATATTTGAAATCTGTCCGATTGAAAGAAGTTTCGCCAAAAATGCCTATAATTTTGTATAACGGTGAACTAGAAGCTATTAATGAAGACAAGTACAATGGACTTTCTCCGAACTTAAAAACTTCTAATGAGAATGTCAATGAAATATGTCTCGATGAAAGTATCAAACCTATATCCCTTAAAGATATAAAATATCCCCATTTACCTAATGGTTTTTTTGTCGGACTGGAAAATATGATAAGTATTGCGAAAAAATATTTGAAATAATTTTATAAAACTTGCATAAAATCTATTCCTTTTTTAAAAATATACCTAAAAATACTTTTACCACATAACAAACAATTATCCTTCATCTATAAATTGAAAATTCTTATATTTTATAAATAAAAATTATTAAAGTATCGATTAAAGAAGCATTTACAAGTTGCAAAAACGGTAACTGGGCTAAGCGATCACTTTCATCCGCTCTCAATATAGGGGACGGTCATACCTTGCTGTACCTTAGACTCGTGATCGAAGCTCTTAGAACCTCGCAAACATTTATATCTTCTTCATACTTACCTCACGCTGCATACCACAATTGTGGTAAAGCCAAAACTGACTCCTCCAAAAGTAATAATTTAAAATCTGAGGGAAATAATGGCACTGTAATTCAAAATAGCTATAACAAACCACTCACTTGGACATCTATCAAATCTCAGAACAGGTCATTCTCTGAGATAGATGATTTTGAATACGACGAAGAAAACAATGGATTTAGCATTGAAGATGGAATTAATAGCTTCGAGATGGGTGTTCCTTGTGGAACGCGAAATTTTGGCGATGATTTTTATAATAACGATAGTTTTGATTACGATTTGGATGGGTACAATAAAAAATTTGACGGGAATGGAGATTTTGAGATTATGGGGCATTCCGTTTTACAGGTAAATGCAATTGGGGGCGAAGAGTTGGGAGTCAAAAAGAAGAATGAAGGCTTTTATTTTATTTAGTAATTTTTTATTTTGCTTGTTCGAATTTTTGAAGTTATAAAATTTGCTTATCATACGATCTAAGTCTGATATAAATTTCTTTTTTTTAATATTTAACTGTCACGAACACAATGTTCAATTAATAATTTAAATTAAATTAATTTTTTATTGTATATTTTGTGTTATTTTATATTTAGATAATCTTCAATTGTGAAAAAAATCATATTCGCTGCAATTATTATCGCTCTTTTTACATTCTATATTAAATGTTTTATAGATCAAATCTCAATACTTATTTTTTTATCATGTTTTTTTATATAAATTAATGGAAAAATATAAAATTCCTCCACAATAATTCCTCTATGGTCATGCAATCTCATTTTAAATGATCTACAAACATTCGATGGCAATGACAGTTATAGGTCGCTAATTTGATATTTATATATATTATTATTTATATTTATAAGCATTTACTATTTTTATATCAATCACTAATAAGTATTATATCTATTTTAGCATAGACAATTTTAAATTCCTTCAGATTTCTCTAATATTGACTTTAATAAAACACTTTATACACTTTTTTACTCTAATTCAATAATAATATTTATTATAAAAAAATAAAATATATATACACTTTGCAAAATATAATTTTTAGATTTTTTTAAGATTTTCTACAAATTTATATATTTTTATAAGATATGTATCCTCTATATGAATTTTTAATTGTTACCAATAAAATCGATGATGGAGAAATAAATTGAGTAGATTATAAATTTGATTGTGTCAAAATCAAGGAAAATAAATCCTTTATAAATGGTATAAACTAGTCTATTGGGATTTTTATAGTAGTTATAAGATCACCCGTCCATGGGGATATATTGAAACTTTTTTTCGGATTGCCACTACTTTTTCTTTATTGTTTCATGTCCATCCAGATCTGCATCTGGAGAATCATTATTGTTAACTGTTATATATTGATTATCCATATTAGTATTTAAAAACTTAGTATCACTACTGCTAAAATTTTCTTCACTCTCACAATTTATTTTCAATCTGACTAAAAACAAAAAGGACTCGTAATTTTTATCATGTTAGAATAAATGGAATCTAAACTATCTTAGCTACAACTAATAAATATATTATTTCTTATAAGATATTTAGATTCTTATTTACAGGCGGAATTTGCTAAATATTAAAATATTTTATTTCCCAAAAGGAATTTAAATTAATGTTTGAGAAATCATAATATTATTCACATTAAACTTATATTTATTTATAAACGAATATATCCATGGAATGAATTAAGAACTTTTTGAAAGATAATGTTATAAAAACATAATGGAGAAATTGACTATTACTATAAATTAACACTATACGTTAATGCTTTAAAAGCAATAATCGATTTTAAATGACGAAAATACGTTTACATCGGAATATTAAAAAAATTTAATTATAAAATAAAATGATAACAAAGATTTTAGGACGATTTATTATTTAACAATATGTTATGTCAAAAAAAAAAGAAACCATTATTATTCTTTTGAGAAGACAAATATATATATATAAACATTACTGAACGCTACAATTAGATCTGAAAGCAATCATTTGCTCTTTTTGCACGGTAAGTATGGCTCCTTTTTTAGTGTTAGACTTTTGAATTTTACTGTACTTATAGATATCACTATTGCGGGCCTGTCGTTGATCCTTAGTCAAGGATTCGTCGCCAGGTCCCGCCACTAGTCAGCTGTCATCGAAGTTTACGGATTTTATTCTTATTTTTGGATCGTTGTCAAAAATAATGTTTAACTTCTCTCCCATATCTTCTCGTAATTCTATTCCATCATCTTTGGGTGTAAATATCGATAGCAGCTTTATTTTATTTATATAAATAAGTATATATTTCCAATTTTATTAAATTCTCATTTTTTAAATTGAAATGCTTTAAAGGGGCATTTATATTGGTTCAAATTAATTATGCTTCTCTGACAATAGCATTTGGATAATTTTGTTTTTATTTTAATTTATGTAAATAAAAAATTGATTTTAATTTAAATATTGGTAACAACTTTAATTTTGGAACATAATTTAATTTAAAGATTTTGAATAAATATTACATTTATGGCTTTCAAATTTTCTATTAATTGTTCGACGGAAGTTACACCCATTAAAACGCAAGAACACTCATTATTTCGAAGACACCATGCTAAAAAATAATAAGACATAATTCATATTTTTTTATAATATTATTGGTACTATCAATACTTTCTATAACGATTCATTTTCACTATTTTAGCTCAAAACTATTTCAAAATAAATTGCCCCTCATTAGCATATATTTCTGCTATTCCATTCTATGCTATCCTCTACATTATCGTTCACTCAAAAATTTCGAGAATTGATCCTCTCTCCTTTGCTTAGGATATAGAAAGGTATCTCTTTTAAAAAAATTAAAAAATATTCTATACAATAGTCTTCATTATTTAAATCTCTTGCACAATTTTATAAATGAAATTTTTTACTAACAAAAAAGAAATTCCAATACATTTAATCAAGCACTGATATCTAATTATAATTTCATTGCTGGTAAATGTCTAATTATTTTTTAATAAATTATATCAAAAAGCTCATCATTATATTAAAACGGCATTAAGATCGCACCTATTTAAAAATCAAATTTAAATGTGTATACATTTTATAAATATAATTCAAAATTTTATCCTGCATATGAATGTGATACGAGAATTCGCTGTTAACTTAGTGACCACTGGAGATTCTCAGGAATTCTTAGTTTACTCAAAAATAAATAATTTTTTCGATATATTAAAAATTTAAAAAAAATATTAATAATATTAATTATATGGGATTCTATATTCATTTTTTTTAAATTAGAGCCTTTTTTAATAAGGGATTCTCAATTTAAAATTAAAGACACAGTTAAAATTTACCTATAGACAACTGAGCCGCCGTACTCTGTAAAGTAGTCGCCAAAAATATCAGCTGACTTATCATTTTGGATTGCATTTCCCTTCCCTGGTCGCTCAGTAACTTTTCCTTAAACTTGTTTTGCGTCTGTAATTATAAAAAGTATAATTATTATTTTTCTAAATATCGCCGCTCCCGTTTAAATATTTGAGTCATATACGTTTAAATGTAGGGATTGTAATTTTTAAAAAAAATCCATCTTTCTTTTATTATTTTATAATCTCAAGAAACCTTTTCTTTTTTTAATAAAATTTTATTATATATAAATAATGCAATGGCATTAATTCCATTGCTAAAATGCTAATTATTTAATAAAATACAAAGCGTAATACCGAATGCTGTTAACGATCTAAAGTTAACTTAATCGGGAAATCGAGCTAATTTTGGTTCTTCGATTGAACCTCAGTTCCTAAATTCAAGTTGCGAACTCAAGTTGTTAATACTAGAGACATCTAAATAATGTATTCCAATCGAGAAATCAAATTATGAATTCGATATGTGAGGCATGAACATTTTTAACTCAAGATATGATCCAGTCTTGTTCATTCGGCCTCTTGTATATAATTAAAACAAAATGATATTAAAAAATTAAAGTTGACTCGATTTCACGACAATTTTAAAACTTGTGTTCACACATCCACTTCGAGCTCATAAATCTGCGACTCTTGAGTAGGAGTCTAACAAACTCGACTATTAACACCTCAAACATTCGCTTAGATATTAGGTAAACTGGAGGAAAATATATAGCAATTGAAATTTTAAACCCTGATATCATATTAGTGAAGCAAAACACTATTTAATTTAGATTCAAATGATTGCTACGTTCTTGATAAGTTAATAAAGTTTAAAGGAACGCAAAACATTAGTAAAATTTACTCTTCAAAATGAAATTAATAATTTTTCTCAATATCAGCACACTTTAGAAATAGTGAATGTAATTATTCATTCGTCAATTCCTATTAACCCTTTGAGGCGTACGATGCATTTATTTTCTACTAGCGAAAGTTACTTCATCTGAAACCATCAAAATATTAAATTAAATATATTTTTGTTCATACCATTTGCTACACAAGTTATATGTATATATATAACCTCCTTAATCAAGAAATGAACGTTTTCGTATAATTTTAATGTTAATTTTTATTTTTTCTATCAACTATCCTATCATCTTAATGTTAAATGTTGTTTTTCTATCAATTTTCCTATCATCTTAATGTTAAATAAATCGAGGGAGACTATATATATCTCTAATGTTAAATTTTAAGAAAAAATTTTTTATACATCAACGGGATGCGAACCTAGGACTTAACATTTCAAAGGCAAACGTTCTTCCACTCAGCCTACTATATTAAATTTTGTAATACAACCCTTATATATGAAACTATTATTTTGCTATTAACATATTTTTATTGGCTTATTAAGCTCTTATCTTATTGGTTTAAATTAGATGGAGTTGTGCAATCAATGCAACGTTTTCCTTTATTTGATCATTTTTTAAAATAAATTTTATGCCTCCTAATTAGGCTGGGGAAAGTGGTATCCATATTATACCTCTTATTATTATTTTTTTTATAAATTTAAATTGTATTTTATTTATATAGATAAAAATAAAACTTATCTTTCACTATTATAAAAACAAAAAATTATTATCATTTTTTTCCGCCACTAAGGGTTAATTAAAAAAATAAATAAAACTATTTTAATCTAAAACTAGGCCGAAAGAAATATATCTCATCCTTCTATTTGTATTTTAAAAATAGACTAGACTAGACTCATAAATTCGAATCTTTATAGAAAAAAAAGTCATGCTATTTTCTAATATTTTAGTAGCTAACTGTCAGATTTCTATAAAAAACTAAAGTTTAAACTTTAACATCAATTATATAAAAATAGTGTATATTATGGACTACGGTAAAAAAAAATCCAATATTAACCCTATAATATCAATAAATTTTACTATTAATGAGGCTCTAGAATATGTCGGAATACCGTCATCATATTTCCCTGTGAGTATGCCACCAGCTAAGGGAGAATGGATGATTAAACCTAAGCCTAATAGAAAATTTGGAATTTATATATATATATATATATTTTTTTTTTAAAATTAAACTCAATATATTTATATCAAAACATTATAAATATTTGTATGGTGTATTTGCCTATTTTATGATTCATATCTTGCATCGATATCTCAAATTTTTCTCTAGTCATCAAGTTGTATTCCAATTGATCGGTTATTGGGGGTATTAGATTAAATTGTCGAGCGAGTGAGTATGCCTCCTTAAATAGTATAAACATAGTAATGTATATATTTTAACTATAAAATATATAGGTTTCAATGATATCTAAATTATAAACCATCTTATATAGACTAACTCTAGTTAACTACAGCCCTTAGTCCCAGTGCTTACACGAATGGGGGATAGGTAGGAGCAATTTTCCACATATCAGGAAAAAAGAAATAATATTTTTTTTTACAATTTGAAAGTATTATTATTTTTTTTATGTTAAATGACATAAAACTATACCATTATTTCTGTAGGCGACCATTTTGTGGTTCCCCAATAAAATGCATGTCCTTTATTTATGATGAAAGTGAAGGCCCTTACGATTTCTGATTTATATTTCAATAAATTTATATTTCGATAAATTTACATGTTAATTTTATATATTTGCTTGTAAATTATTATTACCTTCAATAGTCACCAAATTTTTATCGTAACGTTTCGCGAATACTATATCAACATAATCCATTTGTAATCTTTTTAAAGAGTTTTGGACACCTTTTATTTATTATTATAAATCATTTTATGAAGGTAGGTATAGGTAGTTATATATCTTATATTGCACATATAACCCACATATTGTAATTTTATTATTATTATTCTCTTTTTAGAGCAATCGGCAGACAATATATATTAATTAGGATGTCTTTACCTGTTTTTTTCATCCCTAATTATTATATATTCAATATTTTACTCAAACCTTAAAATTCTCAAATATGAAATGCGAATAATGTAGTTATTAATTGAATAAAGTTTTAAAAAAAATTAAACCTTCAATGATATGCTTTCGGGAGAGGCCCTTCTCAGTTTCATATCTTAAAATAGTTAATAATTCTTCAATTATAAAATTCTCAATATTTTTATATTGTACTTTCCTCCTGCGTGAATTTTGGTTGATATTACATAAGTAGATCTTCTGTAATGTTAAAAAAATAATACGTTCTTAAAAAAAATTCATCAATTCTTAATTATACTTCCAATCCAATTTATTTAATAACTTGCCCAATAGAATTTCAGCTCTGGTTCAAACAAAGTTAGTTTAATTGTTCAGAATGGCCATTAAAATTATGTATACCTTCCTCCGGCATAAGTTTCAGAAGTATCAAAATAGTTAATCCCATTTTCATATGCTATTTTAAGGATATCTTCTGCCACCTTAAATTAACAGTAATAAACTATACCATAATCAAAATACTTTGTTCTTCTATATGTTAAAAAATACCCACTAATAGAAATCATTAATATTATAATAATTGCTATTTTATAAAATTAAAAGGCTATTTTTTAAGTTGAATTTATCCATTTTTCTATATTATAAATAATCTTATATTTATAGAGTTTATGTACGATGAATTAAAGAGGTAGTGAGTGTGACAAAAAGAAGGAAATTACTGTAAGCATTATAAAAGTAGTATGTTTCTGATTTTTTTTCAAATCATAATAATAATATTTATTATTATCGCTTAATTTTATAATGTTCAAAAATTTTATTCTTGAACAATTTTTTTTCTTTAAAATTGAATAAGGACACAATTTATATTTGAGCAATAAAATTTCTAAAAAAATTTATTATTTCATCATCTACTAAAATATTATACTATTACGGGATTCGTTAGATTAAATCAACAGGGAGGTGAACCTGAACCCTCGCTCAATTGCTGATCCCGAACCTACCTAACCCCTTCTAAAAGTGGGAGGGTTCAATCAAAAAAAAATACGTGAAAAATGAAAAGAAAAAATTCTTGGAATCATTTTTCATTTTCTTTACATTTTTTCAAAATATTCGGTTATTTTTTAGATAAATTTTTATTATGAAAGTATGCCAATAATACAATAGGAATACGTTGCTTATCTTATTTTTAGATCAATTTTAGAAATTAAAATATTGGAATAAAAACATAAATCAAGAAAGTAAAATAATCCAATTTTTCTTGATATTCAATTTTCAGATTTGTACGGAAATCTTAAAGAGGATATTTTGGAAGATGTTATGATTGTTTTATTGAATATAATATTTAAAATTAAAACATATTGATTATTAAATTTTTTGTCATTAAATTATATTTATTATATGAAGTAGAATAAAAAAATAATTAATGGAAAATAAATAGTTATTTTATTAATATTAAGTTAATATTTTTTTATGCACTCCAAAACCTGATCCCTAACCATTTTATAAACTTTTATTCCCAGGACCCTATTTTTTTTGTCTTAAAGTTTTCATACCTGGATATAGTTTTTTATTAACAAACATGTAAATTTAAAACTTGATCGTCTATTTGATTAGCGAAAGTTATCCATGTACCTTATAATTAAAATGGTAAATCAATAAGTACAGATATATAATACTAGTTATTATTATACCTATTCCTATGCACGAGACTCTTAATCCGGATGAACCTAAATTCCTTTAATTTTGAATAGAAATTTATATTACTAGAGGGCTAACAGAAACTAAATATAATTTCTTTCTGAAAATTAATTAATTGTATTATATTTCAAGAGTATATAATAATAAACTATAATATAATATTTATTTACAAAAAATATGTAACAATATAATATTATAACAAGAAAAGGTATAAATCACACAATATGATTTTTTTTTTAAATGGGTTTAATAAATTTCTATTTGAGAAGAATATTAAAATTTTTATATTATTAATTGAATATAAAATAAACAAGTAAAAATTTGAAAAAAAACACTCGTAACAAGTGAAAATTTAAAAATTAATAGATTTACTAAAAAAAATATATATTTAAAAAATATTTGCATGCAATTAATAAAACTATTATTTTTAAATATGGTGGCTGATTTTTTTTTAAAAAAATGCCTTTTATAATTTTATGTGTGAAGTTCGGTTCCACGTCATTACAGAGAAACCATTACAGAGAAACCATTACAGAGAAAACAATTACGGAGAAACTTTTACAGAGAAAACAATTAAAGAGAATGTCGTTTAAAGAGAAAACAATTAAAGAGAATGTCGTTTAAAGAGAATTTTTTTATAGAGAATTATTTTATAGAGAATGTATTTTACAGAGAAACTTTTACAGAGAAAACAATTAAAGAGAATGTCGTTTAAAGAGAAAACAATTAAAGAGAATGTCGTTTAAAGAGAATTTTTTTATAGAGAATTATTTTATAGAGAATGTATTTTACAGAGAAGAGAAACTTCAGAGAAAACAATTAAAGAGAATGTCGTTTAAAGAGAATTTTTTTATAGAGAATTATTTTATAGAGAATGTTTTTACAGAAAATGATTTTATAGAGAATGATTTTATAGAGAATGTTTTTACAGAGAATGATTTTATAGAGAATTTTTTATAAAATTTTATTTAAAGAATATGATTATATTATAAAAAATGTTAATCTATATAATATATAACATTTTTGTATAAATTTGTGTAATTATTACTTAGGGTGTGCATATTGTTTTTCTACTGGCCATATACTATGTGTTAACTTTTATTATAAATATTAAATATTTCTATATGTATGAAATACTTACAAAAGACCAATCTTACATCTCAATTTACCATCATTTATTTAATACATTAATATCTTAATTATCTTTTTGCTAAACTTTCTTAAATTTGTTCATCATTTGAAATAAAGTGAGTTTTTTAGAAAGAGATACTAATTTTGAAAGAAATCGGTCCAATAGATAAAATTTAATTTTTTTATATCATTATATTTGGTAGCATTAAATTAAAATAGAGTAAAATTGACACAATGCAAAACTCTATTTTTGAATTTCAGAAAGTTTTATAATCTTATATCATGTTTAAATAAAATTTTCGAAGGTTACAAATTTTAAATTATAGATGTGACACACGATCGTAAACCTCTATGTGGTTATCAAAATATTTTTATGGCAGTAAAAGTGTTTATCAATTGAAAACAATCTATGTTATGTTATTCTATATAAACGACATTCTCTATCAGTGTTTTCTCTATAAAAGTTTCTCCGTAATTGTTTTCTCTATAAAAGTTTCTCCGTAATTGTTTTCTCGATAAAAGTTTCTCTATAATTGTTTATTTTGTAAATGTTTGTCACTAAAGACCATTTTAGAATATTTTAAGTAATAATTTAATTATTTTTTTAAGTAATAATTTAATTATTTTCTTTTTAAATTTTGATAAATTTTTTTTAAATTATGGCTGAATTTATTTTAAGTAGTCGAAACAATAAGTTACTACTTCTTGATTTTTACTTATTTCAAAAGGAAAAAACATCTAACCAAACAAAAACAACCTATTGGAGATGTATTCAATTCAATGTGGACGAATGCAGTGGACGTGCAAGAACTAAGAACGGAATCCCTATATTCCACAATCATAAACATAACCATGTACCAGACATTGCAGATATTGAAGCAAGAAGAGAGCTAAATAGAATTAAACAAGTGGCTTCTAGTTCCCAATCTCTGCCCAATAATATAATAGCCGATATATCTAGCAATATATCCATAGCCGCCACTGGTAAAATGCCCAGTTGTTCCTTAATTAAAAGGACAATTCAAAGGAAAAGACGCCAAGTAGGAAGAGCGCCTGCCGTTCCTGTAAGCCTGATTGACTTGGTCATACCAATCGAATATCAATTATCCAATAATAATGAACAATTTTTACTTTATGATAGTGGTCATCATGATCACCGATGCATAATATTTTCTAACATTAAAAATTTACAATTTTTATCAACATGCGATAAATGGTATGCAGATGGCACATTCAAAACATGCCCCCCTCTCTTCCAGCAAATATACACCATCCACGGGATGAAACATAATAAAACCATTATTCCCGCTATTTATGTTCTGATGGCATCACGTCGCCAACAAGATTACCTTAATATTTTCAATCAAATTAAAAATTTCCAAATTTTTTTAAATCCAAAAGTTATTATGATTGATTTTGAATTAGCAGCCTTATCTGCTTTTAAACAGTCATTTCCAATGACTGCAATGCGCGGGTGTCTGTTCCATATGTCGCAATGCATATGGCGCACGGTTCAGAAAAATCCCCGCATTTGCAATGCATACAAAAGCGAAACTAATTTTGCTATGTATATAAAGATGCTAATGTCACTGGCATATGTCCCAGTTCAGGACGTAATTCACGGATTTGAGGAATTATGTGCCTCCATATTCTATCAAGAAAATAGGGCTATTCTCGCCCCCTTGATAGAATATTTTGAAGAGACATGGATTGGGAAAATGATAGCGATGGAGAGGAGGTCTCCAATATTTGGTATTTCCCTATGGAATTGTTATGAATCGACACTAGCTAGTGAACCGAATACAAATAATTCTGTAGAGGGCTGGCATCCATCGGAGTTTTTCGTCTCATATAAGTTCCCATCATCCAACAATCTGGAAATTTATAAAGAGTTAGTAATTATATTGTATTTTAAATTTTAAAAATCTTTTCATTTATAGCTCTCAAAGACGAAGATAGCCTTAATAGTTACAAATTGGAACAATATTCTTTAGGACTATTAGCTCCAGTGTCAAAGAAAGAATATCGAGAAAGATCCAAAAGGATTCTTCTAATTGTTGAAGATTTCCATTCAAGAACCATGATGGATTATTTAAGGGCTTTATCCCACAATTTAAATTTAAATGTTTAATTTAATAATATAATTGTATTTTTTTATATTGGTATATTATTTATACTATGTTTATTTGGATTTATTATGAATAAAAATTTATTTGATATTTCGAAATGAACATTGCTAACCTCTTATTTGGTATTTTATCTAGGTTTATCTTATAATAACTTCATATACAAATGGTATTCTATTCTCTAATTTGGAATTCACAAAATATAAGAAGCGCTCTATATAACATTTTTTTCTTATTTATCATCATTTTAAGATTATCTAAGGTTTATGATATTAAATCACCGATAAATTACACCAAAAGCTCAATAATTATAGTTTTCTCTATAAAAATTTCGCTAGTTATTTATGAAAAATAGTAGTGACTAGTTATATTTAAAAAAAGAAAACTAGTAACTGTAACTATTTATATTTCTCCAAATTTAGCTACTAACTTAACTAATTACAGTTACATTTCCAAAGTAACTTTTAACAACATTATATAAGGTAATTATAATATTTAATATTATTTCAAATACTAAAAATTTTTTTCCTTGAAATAATTACACAAATTTTTTAAAAAATAATCATATTCTTTATAAAAAATTCTCTATAATAGTTTTCTCTATAAAATAATCATATTCTTTATAAAAAATTCTCTATAATAGTTTTCTCTATAAAATAATCATATTCTTTATAAAAAATTCTCTATAATAGTTTTCTCTATAAAATAATTCTCTTTAAACATAAAAAATTCTCTATAATAGTTTTCTCTATAAAATAATTCTCTTTAAACGACATTCTCTCTTTAATTGTTTTCTCTGTAAAAGTTTCTCTGTAAAATACATTCTCTATAAAATAATTCTCTATAAAAAAATTCTCTTTAAACGACATTCTCTTTAATTGTTTTCTCTGTAAAAGTTTCTCTGTAAAATACATTCTCTATTAAATAATTCTCTATAAAAAAATTCTCTTTAAACGACATTCTCTTTAATTGTTTTCTCTGTAAAAGTTTCTCTGTAAATGTTTTCTCTGTAATGGTTTCTCTGTAATGACGCGATACCGTGAAGTTCATTTTATATTTAAAATTAATCAATTTTTCAATTTAAAAAAAAATATTCAAAATCGGTTTGAATAAACTGCAAATGCGAACTACAAATGTTAAGGTAAACTGCAAATATTATCTAAATGCGTTAATATAAATTATATTATATTAACCATTTTGATTTATGAGGTATTAATAACAATAGATCCACTTAATAAGCATCTACAGTCAGTAGGTACTAATATAGTGAATGCTAAAAAATTGATTCCACAACTAATATATTAAAAAATAAAGAAGTGATAATTCTTTTGATTTGATTAGAATTAAGGCTGAGAAACTGATATCAAAAATTGATCTCATCCCTCAAAAATCATCAAGAGTACGTAAAACGCTAAATTTTCAAGGTTTTTTAGTCAATACCAAATTTTATTTTGATTTTGAAAAGGACTTCAATTGTAGTTCTTTAATAAAGAATTATTATAAAATTATTAATTACTTTATAGATAGTTTTTTAAATTAAATTACCTGATTATTTTATATCAGACAAAATGACCCCATTAGAATCATTATCAAATTTAAATATGGATATTAAACGTTAAATCATGAAATGAAAATAGCAAAAATATTATTAGCGCAGAAGTTAAAGAAACATAATTTTGAAAATATCGTAAATATTATATATAAAAAATTATTTCTTGCATTTAAAGAATTGTATAAATGTTACTAAGCAGCCAACTTCATTGGGTACCAATGGCTTCTTTTGTGAGGCCTCATTCTTTACACTAAAGAGAGTTCTATCGAGCACTAGAGATTCAAAGAAATCGACGTAAACAAAATTCAATATTAATTGTTTATGGAGAAAAGATAATACAGAATTTAGATTTTAATTTATTTGTGTTAAAATGTAAAAATAAGAATCGTCGTTTACAAAATTTTAATAAGAATAGCAAAAAATTTATATGAATGCCAAACTATTTGTTTTATTTTTAAAAAATATTATCCACCCCCCCCCCCCTATGTAAACAGTTGCCTCTCAGCTAGAAATTACTGGCTCAGGCGTTAGTCTCATAGTCTCACAATTAAACCAATTATTAAATATAATTAAGGTCCGAAAATAAAATAACTCTGCAATTGTTACAAGCTCATAAAAATTATTGTACTTAAACAAAAATAAACGCCAATTACAGCAATTACCGATTTAAACCATCTATTAATAGATTAAAGAAAAGATTATTCCTATATATTACTCTATTATTGAATATATGGAATATTTTAATTTTATCATGGGTTTAACTTCAATTAATACATTTAAAAATTATACCTAAGAAACTAAACAGTTTCTCTTTTTTGGTAAAATTATAATTTTACATAAAAAAAATTATCAACATTTAATAGATATAAAATTTTTACCTAATGTTTCTTGGCCAATGTGGTTTACCTTGGCATTTGCAGTTTAGTTAAACCCATTATATTTTAAAATAGTGATCTAATTTTTTGCTTTATAAAATAAAAATTTCTTGGGTTCTGATGTAAGGGCTAGTATTGCCACCTATATTTTATAAAAAAATTTGATTAATTATTTTTTCTAGTTTTTTATCTGTCTAGTCTATATCCAATCCATCAAAACTTTTTAAATAGAGAAAATTAAAATAATCCTATGGAAATAAATAAATGTTGATAAATTGGGCAATATTTAATTAACGATTTTCATATGAATTAAATTATTAAAATTATAAAGTTATAATATAATTTCCCTTATCAAATATATATATACAATATTAAAAAATCAATCTTTTTTGGTCTTAGAACTGACGCGTTATGAAAGACTAACCTTTTTTAGAACTCAAAAGATGGCGGATTATGATTGAATGAGAGATTTAAATGTGCTAGCCCGGCTCTGGAGCTACCTATTGCAGTGGTTCTTATACCAATGCATCAAAAATTTGGGTTATAAAATATTTAAATTAAATAGTAATAAAATTTTATTATCAATATTATAAAAAATAATTCCAAATAAAGATGTTATTAAGACTCCACTAGTTATAAAGAAAACCAATAATATTAATTTTTTCTTCTTAAAAATAATTCCCATGCAGATCAAATTTAGAGCCTGAAAGTGGTTTTAGAACCCATACCCTCAGAACTGATCTTGAAATCGGAAACAAGAGTTTAGTTTTTAGTCCAGATTTCATATCTCTGACCAAATTCTTTCATCGTTATAAATTTTTAGTATATATTTTTAAAATAATTTTTCAAATAACATAAAATTATGAATTTATTTACCTGTAAATCATGAATTATACTATTTAGAAGTTTCTTTTTTGTTAAAAATAAAAAATATTATCCAAACTTATCAGCAGAATTTATATAATTCGATCATACAAAATATTGGAAATGGAAGATATAATGGATTTCAGTCGTCTTTATTATCATAAATAATGATTATATATTTTTTTCATCCTTATTAAAGAATAATAATTAATAAATATACAGCTTTTTGGATAAATCGTATATTTTTTTAAAAACAATGTATATACCATATAAAAATATTATTGTTAATTTTTTGTTAATCCCGATTCAAAGTTATCTCAAAATAAAAATCATGAATATTTTTGGGCATAATAAATTAAATAGTACACTAGGGAATAAATAAATGACAAAAAAAATCATAAATATTAAAAAAAAAAATTCCCTTCAATAATTATAATAATAAAATTATTACGATACACATTACATAAAAATGTGTCTCACTGTTAGGGTTTTTATAATAGACAACTAAATTATGTATAAAGATATTTGGGTAAGTTTATGAGGCGAAATTATACTCTTGAAATTTCATCTTATGATTAAACAGCGAAGTTTTATATTATGATTAAACAGCGAAGTTTTATATTATGTTTAAACAGCAATTAAATAAAAATTTTCAATTTTATCGCAGAAATTAAAACTCACGGGTTATACGTTGTCTCATTTCTAAAGCTTTTGTTATTTTTCTAGCATTTAAAATTCCATGCGAAAAAAGAGATATGAAGGCCTCTAATAAGGTAAGTAGACTTAAAAATATCAAACAATATTAAAAGAATTTAATTATGGCAAAAATAAGATTTTAAAAAATCTATTTTAAAGCCTCTCCAATAAGATGGATTAGATTAATGAAAATTCTTAATAGTGTTCCCTGGGCGTTCGAGTTGTTATATAAAGAGAATCATAAGGCCTAGTTATTTGAAGAAAATATCAAAAGAACAGAAAAATTTTAATTTATTTTAATACTTTCAAAACAATTGGAATTTCATCGATTGACCATATTATTCGAAGGAAATAAGGGTGCTTAGCGAAAATATCCCTGAGAAAATGAATAATTTTCCTGAAAAATTTTAATTTTTTAGAAACTTCTATAATTTCTTTAATAATTTTATAGTGTGCATTTTTTGATAAAATAATTACGATTAAATTATGTAAAAATAATTTTTTATCCACATTAATTAGCCAGATTTATCTAACTACGAAATCGCAGGTCACGACCCGGCCAATCCTGTTACATAAAAATATTTGAAAAGGTTTTTATTGACCCTGTTTGTATTGTAGAATAAATTTGTAGTAACTATTTTATGAAGATTAGGGTCATCAAAAATATTTGGAAAATTTCAGCCAGCTTATTTTGCACAAGTTTTTTGATCCAGCTTGAAAATCCTTTTGATAAAAATGGAATGAAAAAAAGATCTAATTACCCCTCAATAAGAGATTGAACAAATAACAGCAAGGGAAAACAGATATTGGATTTACATTTACATTTTTTCAAAAAAATAATATTTTTATGCTCCAAAACATAAATAAGGCTGTAAGAAAAAGAAATAAATTTATTACTGGTGGACGTTATAGTTTATTTTATTGGAATTTTTTTTTACCTTAGTTATGTGGTCAAAATATGCATAAAGTTTTGTTTCAATAGGGGTAAGTTGGCTCTAAAGCATAAATACAAAATAGTATTAAATAAACAAATAGAATTATAAACTAGAATAAGACTCAGAGACTTCTATAAGTTGATCACTCTCGAAGGATTTATTATTGTATAAATTTGTTACATTTATACGTTTATTGCAGCGATTTTAGATTTTTAATAAATTATATTGCCAATTGATATTTTTTGCATTGGATATTTGTTTTGATAAATAAAATATCCTGCAGACATCAAAATTTTAGGCTCGGCTGGAATTTAGTAAAAAACAAAATTCAAGCCTGACTTAAGATTTTTAGACTAGTGACGATTTGTTTTGCTTTTTTTAAATAATGGCTGTCTGGAATAGAGGTCTGCAATGGGAAAAGCCAGCCCACTTGTTGCTTAATTTATTTAACCCTCCCACCCGCTCACTTATAATTTTAAAAAAAAATTTACCCACCTTCCCGCCCATTTATCTATAAATCTTGTTTAACCCGCCCGCCTTAATGTTTAAAAATTATTTTAATGGCTCGTGGCTCTATTTTTAATTAAACATATATAATATGCAATATTATGAAATAAAGCTATTATTTTAAATAAATGAAGTCTGTTCTGCTCATTTTGCCAGAAAAATATCAAAAATTAACCCGCCCATGCCCGCCCACTACTTATAATATTTTTCAATTCGCCCGACCCACCCAATGTTAAAAATATTTTTAAAAACCCAATCATGCCTATTTAAAGTATGGACGGCCATATGCGTGAGGGCAAAAAACCTTCCCAATGCAGACCTATACTAGTCTAGAATTTTTAAAAATTTTGTTATTTAGAATAATTTTGGCTAGAATTTGCAAATTGTTTCAAAGGGAAATGATTAATATTAAGTGATCTCCATAATATGATTACAGCTGATTAATTGATATAATTTACTGCAGGTATCTGAACGGCAAAGCACTTCAAGAAATATTAGGACAAGAACCTTAACCACATTTTTTATTCAGAGTTCCAGGTTCTATACCAATGACATATCATATATACCTTAATTGACAAATCGTTCATTAAAATGTACTTTGAAGTATCGTTGAACGAATATCAGCTGTTGCTGCTTTGGTTTTTCATTTCTAATTTTTTGTCATAGAAATGAAATAAAACGATTATGCCTATTAACAAAATGGCTTATTTTTTAAATCAAAATTATGAGGTAAGGATTTTTATTCACAAAAGATTTACTTATAAATCATATTTACAAAAACGATTTAGAATTCAAAAGATTAATTTGACCAAAAATCCTACTCGAATATTCTCAAAAAATTTTATTTATAAATAATTTAAATCTGGAAAAAAATCATTTATCATTTTTATTCTACTTTAATTCTATAATAATAGATCCGCAAGATGGCGTCATTATTTTTCCCTCATAATGGAAAATTAAAATTATTTTGATCATAATAAATTATTATTTCGTATTATTTAATACTAAAGATTAAAAATTTTACAGTTTTTAAAAAGTCAAAACTTAATAATTATTTAAAATCCTAATAAATAAAGAGAAAATGCTTCATTTAATATTGTTTACATTTTATACTATTCATATACATTAAGCTATCTTATTGACCTTAGCTCACGTAAAAAACGATATTCTTAATATTGGAAACACATAATACAATAGTGTCCATGATTATATAAATTTACAAACCTAAAGAAAAAATATTAAAGATACGTTTGAAAAGAAAATAAACTGCTGATTATTTATTGGATCCCCAATATAAGAGTCTTACTTGAGTTTGATGAGGCATATGACATTATACAAAAATTATTCGTTTTTATAAAGTGATGTCAAAATATTTTAAGTGATATCATAAATTTCAGAAGTAAAAGCGGCGGTATATTTAATATCCAAAATATATGGAAACTAGTAACTTTCATAAAAAACAATCAGATTTAGGGCTCAAGTTGCTGGACTGGGCTTTGTTCACCTTGAGGGAAGTGTCTAAGAAATCCGATTGAAGATCTCGACAACTAGAAGATTGGTAGGAGTATATCATAACCTAAGATTGATTAAAAAATGTTAAAGAAAATGATAAGATTTAAATTAATTAGAACAAGGCTCTGCCAAGGGGAAAGCGAAGCAATAACTTAGAATTTAGAAAATATAATTTAATATACATTTATTTTTTACTATTATATATATAAAATAGAATTAATATTGTCTTAAAAAACATTTATTTTAATTTGATCATATTTGTCCAGTCAAATATCTGTCATTTGACCGTGTCAGGGTAATCCCATTTTATTTCTTAAACTTTGAGTTGTAGTTAGTTGTTTTCAAAGTTTAACTTCCAAGTTTAAGTCTTTATTTAGTTATTAACCCTTTTTAAAATATAAAAAAGACCTCAGGGTTTAAGGCCATTTTTGTTTGAAACCACGAGATGAAGTGCATTATTATAGTTTAACTGGAGGTTAAAATCAACTTATATTTAGTGTTTGGAGCAAATATTTTTATTTCAACATCTTGGTTTTCGCCTTATCATTTTTAATGGCTTAAGTTCTAGGTTGAAATTTATTTCATATTTTTAGTTTAACAATGAGATTGAGTCCAATATTTTTTAATTTATCCATTAGAAATGAGTACATTTTAATTAGTTCCAAATGCGTACATAGGGGAGGGGGGGATTTTACCCCCCGCCCCCCTCAAATACCATTATAAAGAAGAAAGTGAAAGATAAATTAGTAAAAGTTATTAACTTAACTCAAAATTTTTTTAAAAAAAACATTTTAACATAAAAAAAAGGGGAAAACCCAAAATTATATTTATAAATATCTAATATAGCCAAAAACATACAATAAGTAAACCTAAAAATCTCCAATAAAATTTACGGGAAAAAAATTCACCTAATAGTGCCGCCCCTCCCCTTAGCGAAATCCTGGAGACACCTATAATTAGTTCAACCTCAGGGGTAAAAGACATTTTATGTAGCTCAGCTATTAGGTTGTAGCCAATTTTATAAAAGACAAGAGACTTCATTTTATAGTCTAATGATGATATCAATTGATACAATTAGTTTACTTTTATTAAAATAAAATTATCGCAAATGAGAAAAACACCTATATAACCTCGGTCTCAGTCAATAGTATAAAATTAATATACTGAAACAAAAAATTATACCATATCTTATCTATTAAACTTTATGTAGTATTATATATTTAAACTTTATTAAATTTTTTATTTAATTAATTTTATAAAATTATCTAAAAAGCAATTAAAATTACAAACCATATCAATTTTTGTAATTGTATATTCTCATGTTATTAAAGAGTATTTATTAATTTCAAGCAATTGATAATAAGAAATATAACTTTTATTTAAATTTTATCATTATGTTAATTAACACCATCTATTGTATAAAATTATGATTTATATAGATATTTATATTTTGAAA